CCCCAAAACCCCAAAACCCCAAAACCCCAAAACCCCTTCAGCCTAGGTGTACATTGAAACCTTTTATTAAAACTGTTGATTCGGATCGTAACGTCACAGTTAGAGCCCTTTGCTTAAGAATCTGATGACCCCATAAACCACTGACATTAAGGTATGAATTTTATGTTCTTAGGTTTTTATTATAATGAAAAATTGTTAGTATCGAAACTTTCATTTATTTATGTGAAATCTCACCCAAGTGGTAAATAAAAACAGCATCACTTGAGGGTAAAATGCCTGCATTAAGAACCCAAGGGGTAAAGCAATTCAGAAAGCTATTATGAAGCTGATGCTGTCATATCAGTAGAAATCCATCCACTCCTTTAGAATTTTTCGGATTGCAAATAGTATCGTAAAAGGAAAGAAGAAAAGTACAAGTGGTAGCAATAGCATCATAAGAAGGAGATCAGTACGATTTTCACCTTCAAGTGATCATAGAGAGAATGTACTGTAATGAGATGGATGATAGTCTCCTCCTCAGCTCCATCAGAATTGGTGGAGTCATACACTTCAGGTCATATGATTACACCCAGTTATCTTTTGAATATTAGTTTTACATTTAGGACATCTCTTGATCTTCTTATTTTTATAAATTCTTCTGATCCAACTAGTTTTAATTCTTAAATCATTTATTGGAATGCCAAGCTTCATGACAAGAAATTCAGAATTCATAACCTCATTCACATGTTGCTTTAGTCTTGCCAGCATTGGTGTCAGGGGCTCAATACACGAATTGATCACAATTTATAGAGGGTCACCAATGAAGATTTGGGTCCCGATCGACTCTTTTTTGCCTTTGAAATTCTTGATGTTTTTCTAATATATTATTGGGCAATACACTAGATTTAATTTGCTCATCAATCTGAGACCATCAATCGGGACAAGCAGGCTCAAACTTTCTCATGATTCGTTCTTTCCATCATTCTTGAATACAAGGCTTTCAGAATTTGTGGCTTCAGTTCAGACGCACAGGGAATGTGATTTTAGATAAGCAAATATGGCAGATGTCATCTGAAGTTTGTACAGTGAGAGACATTATTTCTCAAAATTAAATTTTCAATCTGTATAACCTTTTATGGGGTTTTGGGGTTTTGGGGTTTTGGGGTTTTGGGG